CCAGCACTGTTTGCTAAACTACCTCAACTGGTATTTCATGAGTTTTTGAGCCTTCGTGTTTGTGAATGCCTTCAGTGCAGCTTTAGAATTCTTCATTCAGTACCATTGATTCTTGATCAATACTGCTTCCAGAAATGGTTCCATATTGACCAATTCTTTTTGATGCTATGGCTCTGTATTTCACCTGCCTTTTCATAATCCCTGCATTATCTGTTCTTTAGGTTTTCCAGGTTGAAAATTGCCAAGGATGTCTATCATTTTTTATTTTCTAATCCATGTCTTTGCACATTTCATTGTAATACTTTATCTTCTCCAACAGCCCTTAGAAATCTGTTCAGCTTCATCATTTCTTCCTTTTGCTTCATATTCTCTTCTGGCTTCCATTTTGGGTGTGTGTCGTCATACACACCCCCACCCCCATGATTTCAAACTTTCTTTATGTGTAATGTCATTGATCTAATTGCACTAGTCTGCTCTTAGGTTATTATTGTTCACTTTTGGTCATTGTTCACTGTATGAGATCTTGAGGTGGTTTTTAAATTCAGGTGGGGTAAACACAAGTTTGTAATTTGGCCTTTGTGAACTTGGGTTTTTCTTCAGCTTTGATTTGAACTCGGATATGGGTAATTCATGGCTTATTGATAGTCATCGCTGCTGCTCTTGTTTTGACTGCTGATTCTGAGCTTCTCCACTGCATCTTTACATAGATGTAGTTAATTTGATAGAAAATCTGATGAGGACTATGTATATTCAATGTATATACTTAAAGATAATTTTCATTAATTATTGATAGTACAGAATTCTCTCCAGTGTCATTTCTGTCCTAACACGGTATTTTCCAATTACCACTTCTCTTTCCAATTTTTACATTCCAGTTATATGTTGTTATTACTGCATCTTAATTTCATAGCTGCTAGTTTCAGACTGCAGAATTTGGTAGAAATGCTCAGTAGCTTTTTAATCTTTGACTTCAGTGATTGATGCCAGTATTTTAATAAAATTGTAATAACAAATCTCCATTGTATGAATATAGATATTATCCTGTCACTGACATTATACTTCAGAATAGATCTTGAAATTAATTTAGTTACTTTAATAATGAGTTTGAAACCATTCCTTTTCCCATTTGTCACTCTGGCATAGTGGAGGTTAACTGATACAGAATGGCCAGTCCTGGCCCATTTCAGCATACTAATGCCTGAGATACTGATATTTATGAATTCCTTTTCGTTTTTGACAACTATCACTTTTCCTCAATTCATACTTTGTGCCTTCCATATTCCGTTTGCTACTTGGCCAGCCTTCAGGAAGAGATCCCATTCCAAAAAAAGGTGACCTGACAGAGAGTTGAAATTATCAAACACTATCACTAATCATACACTAGCAAAATCCTACTGAAGGTTATCCAGAAATGACTGGAAACAGTACGTTGACAGAGAACTACGAGAAATACAAGCAGGATTTAGAAGAGGATGTGACACTAGAGACATTGCCAATGTTAAATGGATTTTGACAGAAAGGAAAGCGTACCGTAGGAATGTTGATCTGTGTTTCGTTGACTATGCAAAGGCATTTGACCTTGTAGATCCCAACAAATTATGGCTAACCTTGAAGAAAATGGTAGTCCCTGAACACTGGATTGTGTTTATGTGAAACCTATACTTGGACCAGGAAGCAGTCTCAGAACAGAGCAAGGAAGCACTGCATGGTTCAAAATCAGGAAAGGAGTGTGTGAGGGATGCATCCCGTCTCTACCTTTTTTTCAGCCTATATGCAGAACAGATCATTCCAAAAGTAGGACATTCCAGAAGGTGGGCTTTATGAGGAGGAATGTGGCACCAGGATTGGAGAAAGACTTACCAACAACCTATGTTGTGCAGGTGACACAACCTTATATGCTGAAACTGAAGAAGGCCTGAAGCACTTGCTGTGGAAGGTCAAGGACTGTAGTCTTCAATATGGGTTGAAGCTCAACATTAAGACAAAGATTCTTACCACTGGCTGGTTGGTAGTACTATGATATATTGAAGAAGAGACTGAGGTTGTTAATAATTACACCTTCCTTGGCTCCACAAGCAAAACTCTTAGCAGCAGCAGCAGTCAGGAAACCAAAACACTAATTGCATTGGGAAAATCTGCTGTCAGGGACCTCTCCAACATACTGAAATGCAACGATGTTATTCTAGAGACTGAGGTGCAGCTAATCCAGCCCATAGTCTTTGCCGTTACTTGCAATGCATCAGAGAACTGGACAATGACAAGATGATAGAATTGATGCCTTCGAATTGTGGTACTAGAGAAGAGTCTTGGGCATACCATGGACTGCCAAAATAAATTTGTCTGTTGTGAGGAGGGTGTAACCAAGGTTCTCCATGGAGACTAGGATTTTGAAGCTCCGTCTCACATTCTTTGGGCATGTGGCCAGGAGAGACCAGTCCTTGGAGAAGGACATCATGTGTGGAAGGGTGGAGGGACAGCACAGAAGATGATGACCCTGGATCAGATGGGTTGATACAGAAACTGGGGGGGGGGGGGGGGGGGGGGGTTGGTGTGTCAGAATTAGTGAGATTGGTTTAGGACAGGGTTCAGAGCTGCTTTACATAGGGTCGCTTTGGGTTGTAGACGACACCACCACCAGCACATTCCATTAGTAATAGATATTTGCAGCTTTTTCTTCTGATTTCGAATCTTACCACTTCTGTCCTTCATTAGTGAGAACTTTACTTCATCATTAGACCCTCTTTTGATCTATTTGGAGGAGGCACCTCTTCATGAGTTGTATTTGCCTTACAACCTAAGGTCCTCATCTTTATCACTGCATCAGTGTTGCACCACTATTATTCATAGGGGTTTTGAGGGCCCATTATTCAGAAGTGGATGGCCAGGATGACTGCTTAGTCTTAAAGCTCTTTAGAAACCTGTCCACCATGAATAACCCTTGCAAGTATTTAAAGTCCTGGTGGTATAACTTCCAGCCTAACAGCAGCATACAAACTACCAAGGAATAGCAAACTGGCCATCCATGGGAGTAAGCAATTAATAAGATTGGCATCTGACTGAAATCACGGAAGCTTTCTCAGGAAAGGAGGATATGAGATGTATAATAGTTTGCTAGGAGGAGTAGAAGGAGCTCCTGTGGCCTATTGTTTGCCGTCGTGTTAGAATCAACCCATAGCTGACCCTCTAGCAGGTTTTAAGAGGCATTAAATTGCACAGGAGAAGATTGCCCATCCTTCTCCCTCATATTGTCTGGTGGGTGTGAACCATGTGCCTTTGGGATCACTACACAGCTGCTTATCACTAGGCCACCACCCAGGGCACCCAGAGGCATGCGGTTCCAGTCTGCTAGCTACTCCATGGGAGGTAGATGGGCAGTATTTTCTTGTGCAGCTTATTACCTCTGAAAACTCACTGGCCGGTCAGCTCCAACTCATTGGTGCATAGCAACATAGGAATGGGAAGAGGAAGAGGTAAGCAAAATGTGTTTTCTATAGGAGGGGAAGGCTATGATGGGAGGGAATAGTACCGTGGCTGGAAGGCCAGTTGAGGAAAGTTTAATGTTCAGATGAGGCTGTTGTGGGAGACCATGGCAGAAATACAGCTTCTTTTCTAGGAGCTCTGGAGTTGTAGTCTGTAGAGTTGTGGTAACCCAAAGGCTCTCTGGTGGTTGGAATCCACCTGTGGTTCCTCAGAAGGAAGATGGGCAATTTTCTGTGCAGTTTAAAGTCTCAGAAATGCAATGGAGGAATAGCTGTGAGTAGATTCCACCTTGACAGCAAGGAGCTTGGACTTTATGTTGGTTTGATTTTTGTATGAAAATAAATTTTTTAAAGGAAGAAGATTGACCAATTAAAAGTAAAAGCCTTATGTAGTTATTTAATAAACAATGCTTGGAAGGAGCTAAAAATGACTAATAGGATTTAGGAAATAAAATGGCAAGACTTGCTGATGTTGGAATGGAGGGGGAGAAGCTTGAAGGGATAATCTGTAGGTTTCTGGTTACACAGTGATTTGTCTGTCTCCAAGGAGACTTGTATGGGACAAGTATGAAGAAGATCATGAACTCCATTTTGATGTCTTGAAGACTTCTAAGAAAGATTTAAGATAAGCCATCTAAAATACAGGCTTAGGGATATAAGGAAAGGTATGGGCAGATGATAGCAATTTGTGTCATGTTGTATGTTGGCAATAATTGAAACCATGTATGTATGAGATCATCTGTGATAGGGAGTTCTAGAGGCCTGGTGGTAAGAAGCTGTGCTGCCATTCCAAAGGCATATGGTTGGAATCTACCAGCTGCTCTGTGGGAGGAGGATGGGCATTCTCCTTCCATGAGAATAACTGCCTCTGAAAACCCACTGAAGGGTCAGCCTAGTCAGTCCAACTCAAGGGCACACAACATCATAGTGAGATAAATGGTTTAGAAAAAGACAACCATGCAAAGCACTTTAGAAGGCCATTTTGTGGAGAGAAAATAGTCCAGTACATCAGAGATTACATGATTTTATCAGTATTTTTAAGTGCAAAGCGGAGTTAGGGAATGTCCATGGTTTCAACATTAATATTATCAAGTACCAAATAAAGAAATCTATGAATTCATGACATTTTCAAAGTATAAAGCCACAAAACTGTCAGTTCCTATGATTGTAAGCAGAATGAATCACTTTTTGCCACTTATAACATCAGTCTAGAATGGAATATATTTATTACTAAATCTGTGCATTTAATTCTATTTTATATAGTTTGTGTGAAGTGTCCTTAAAATCTGTCTTGCTTGTATTTTTGCTTTACATTTATGTCTTAGTGCTCCTAAATAAAAATTGATAATACAAAAGAAATCAAGAAAATGTTCTATACAAGTTTTTCCTTCTTTTATCTTTATTTTCCCATCAGCTAGAGTGATAGTTTGCATATAACAGGTTTGAAATACATTTTCTAAGTTACTGAATTACAGTATTTACAACAGTTTTAATATTTTATGTATTTTCTGTTTCTTTTTTTAGGATGGCTGGCTGTGGTGAAATTGATCATTCAGTAAACATGCTTCCTACAAACAGGAAAACAAATGAGTCCTCTTCTAACAATGCACCTTCTCTAACTGTCCCTGAATGTGCCATTTGTCTGCAAACATGTGTTCACCCAGTCAGTCTGCCTTGTAAGCATGTTTTCTGCTATCTATGTGTAAAGGGAGCTTCATGGCTTGGGAAACGATGTGCCCTCTGTCGACAAGAAATTCCTGAGGATTTCCTGGACAAACCAACCTTGTTATCACCTGAAGAACTCAAGGCTGCAAGTAGAGGAAATGGAGAATATGCATGGTATTATGAAGGAAGAAATGGGTGGTGGCAGTATGACGAGCGTACTAGTAGAGAGTTGGAAGATGCTTTTTCCAAAGGTAAAAAGAGTACTGAAATGTTAATTGCTGGGTTTCTGTATGTTGCTGATCTTGAAAATATGGTTCAATATAGGAGAAATGAACATGGACGTCGCAGGAAGATTAAACGGGATATTATAGATATACCAAAGAAGGGAGTAGCTGGACTTAGACTGGACTGTGACTCTAATAATGTAAACCTAGCAAGAGAGAGCTCTGCCGATGGAGCGGACAGTCTATCAGCACAGAGTGGAACTTCTGTTCAGCCCCTAGTATCGTCTGCAATTAGGCCCTTAACATCAGTAGATGGTCAGTTAACAAGCCCTGCAACACCATCCCCTGATGCAAGCACTTCTCTGGAAGACTCTTTTGCTCATTTACAACTCAGTGGAGACAATGGAGTGGAAAGGAGCCATAGGGGGGAAGGAGAAGATCCAGAGTCCCCCTCTTCAGGCAGGATACCAGCACCAGATACCTCCATTGAAGAAACCGAGTCAGACAGCAGTAGTGACAGTGAAGATGTATCTGCGCTTATTGCACAGCACTCCTTGGCCCAACAGAGACTTTTGGCTCCTAACGCAAACCAGACAGGATCTGATCTATCCGATCTATCTGGGACTGATCGATCAGTAGCAGCGGGTGGAACAGTGAGTGTCAGATCTAGAAGGCCGGATGGACAGTGCACAGTAACTGAAGTTTAAATAAAGTCTTCAGCCTGTGCTCAAGGTTGAAATGGTTCTCTGTAAATTTCTGCTACGTAGCATTATAACTCATCCCTAGTGGGGCATTGTGGGGTGGGAAGGGGGATGGGAAGGCTATACCTGTAATTAAAATGTCTTAACATGTCTCTGTTGAGCAATTTATTTAAAGAACTTGGGTATTCATAGTTGAAAGCTGTTTAGTAACAATCCAGTTTTCTTGAGGTTTGTTTATTTTACAATTTTTTTTTGTTAAATTTCTTTAGTTCTTTTGGCCAGTGTATCTTACCTGTACATTAATAGTTTTCATCTGATTCTTGCATTGTATCTTACTTTTCTGCATGGATTGACATAAAATCATTACTAAAATTTGGCGCTGATGAGATGTTTGATACCAGTATCAGCAGGAAGCTTCTTACTGTAAGAATAGATGTGAATTTGGAATTTTAAAATAACAACCATTTTACAGTAGTTTCTGAAATGGAAATGTAAAGAAAACAGCTAATAAGTTTCAGAATCTTCTCTGTAAACACACTTCATTGTTTCCATAGTCTTTGCTGTCTAGTCCTTGTGTTTGATGTTTCCCTTCACACTTTTCTTTTTGACTACAAAGTTTATAATTTAATAAATACTATCGTTTATCACAAATAATTTGTCTCTTATTTTCTCTGGAAATAGGAACACTTGCACATGTTAGCCAAGATTCTGAAAGGCAGGGATTTGAATTGGTGCTGTTCATCTTAAAATAGTTACCTGCTCACAGTTTTATTCATAATAGAATAATACATTTAATAAAAATATACAGGAAGTATGTATGGAATAAATAAGAATAGACATAAAACTAAAGACTGAAATGTATAGTAGAGATCAAAAAAGCTTTCTATTTTATTTATGAATCTTTATTAAGTGGTCTAACCAAGGTAGTAAACATTTTTAATTTAGTGGCACAAATTTATACAAAATGTGGACACACAGAAAATCCACTTTTATTGGACTAACTTTACAATCAATGACAATAGTGTTCCATTAATCTAGTTGGCTTTGAAAAGAGTAATTTGCTTGTCTTATAGTTTGCTAATTCACAACAGTATAATTATGATGACAGAGCATATGCAAGTTATTTTGTACATAATGTTGTAATGACCATACTACTTTTAAATTTATCTTCACCTTTTGGGGTATTTGTGACTAACAGCTTCAACTTTGATACTTTTTTTTTTCCTTAGTCTGTTAGTGAGGTTATCCCTGAGATAGCTTAGCCAAACAATAAGTAGTAAAAGTAAGTTGCCATCCAGTCAACTCTGACTCGTGTCAGCTCACACATGCAGTGGCTGGGTTTTTAGATGTAGACCTTCAGACTTGACCGCCATGACATCTTTGGAAAACATCAACTTACAAATTTAGTTAGCTGAATACAGTAACTGCATTCCCCTGGGACACCTAAATTTCTAAATGGTGGCTGCTATTGTTTTGAAGTTAAGTTTATGTGGAAAACTAATTACTAAAAAGATAAGTAGGCTTCAACTTTGTAATGTGGTGCATTTTTCTAAAAAGAGAAAAAAAGAAAGCACCATGATTTTTACTTGACCTGCTTAAAATCGAAAAAAAAAAAATAACGGATCATACCTTCTGTTTTTCTCCCCTTCCTGTTTTTAACTACAAGCTTACACTTACTTTTGTATATTAGGACAAATAGGACTTTATGGAAAGTAACTGTAGGAGTAGATTTTATGTAAAACTCCTTTTAAAAAATACTTTGTTACAAGCTAAGTACCACGGCAGAAATGTAAGAATAGCATTTTTTAACCAAAAGTGTTAACAATAATCAAATGATCCCAAAGTTCTTGGTAAATACACTGAAAACGAAGCCAGTGTTCAGGTATTAAAAATATTAAAGACAAATCTGAATACTAGTGGCAGCTTTCATTATATATTTTTATACATATTTACCACTGGAGAAGCCTTTACTTGTAATATGTCCCATTTTTAAAATTATTTATTAAATTTTCCTCTCCTAGCAATAGCTTCTAAATTTGCAGGTCCGCCCCAAACTGTTCCAACGAGATCTTTTTCCATCTCTAATGCCTCCTCTATACATAGCTCTTTGACTGAAGAAACAGACTTTTTCAAAGTTCTAATTACATGTGGTGGTCCTTTGATAAACTGTTGTAGCCATTCTCTTGCCTCTTGCAGAGACTGAGTTTCATCCGAAGACTGCAAGACCTCTTCTACCATTCCTATGTCCAAAGCTTTTTTTGGATCTAGCTTGAGGGCCCCAGTTAAAATTTTGAGAGCTTGTCTACTGCCAATTATTTCAACCAGTCGGGTAGTGCCCCCCCAGCTTGGAATGATACCCATCTCCTTATGGACAAATCTGATTTCACTCTCTGGAGTCATTAACCTGAAAAAGAGGGAGAGAAAAATAAAAACCACTGTAACTACACACACATACATTTCATTAGTTATAACCACAGTCTCATCACTCCTGTACTGCAACTGACTGCTGATCCTCCAGGGGACCTCCAAGGCTCTGATTATTCTCTGGAGCTGCTGCTGGTGGGTTCGGACCCCTAGAGGCACCACCGTTAGGTTAGTAGTACTCCTACTTACAGACTATACCACCAGAGCTCCCGAGTTAGAAGTACCCAACTATCCATGGGGTAATCTGAAAGCACAGCTCTTTCTAGGTAGGTAGATTATGCCTCGTGGCAGGAGTTGTGCTGCCAACCCAAAGGCAAGTAGTTCAAGTCCAAGGGCAGACTTGCCAGAGAAAGGGGTATAATCTGTTGTCATCTAGAGACTGAAAACCTACTGGAGGGTCCTTTAGGTTGGTATGTGTGATAGTATATAACAACAACAGTGTATCATACTAAAGAAAAGGAATGTCTGAAGGAAAAATCTGGCCGGTAAATCTAATGAAAACATTTGTGGTTTATCCTTTAAAATATCATCTGTGATTCTTTCAAGGAGTTCACAGTATAACTTTTCCAGAGTGAGTGCTGACCTAATTCTGAGAATACCTGCATTAAATGAAAGTATTGGAGTATGAGATGCAAATACTGCCTACTGACATTAAAAAAATTCATAACAAATTAGTGCTTTCAACAGTTCTCTGAAAACATTTTGTGTTTTAATGCAGTTCATGCTGGCAAATACAAGGCACTTCAGTGTTAACTTAGGTGCTAATCAAAATACCTTTGCTCATACGCCAGTGGTGATATGCTATTAAAGGAAAAGAAAATGAGGCAAAGAACTGGACAAGAGGTGTGTTTGGGGTGTGCTATATTTTAGATAGAGAAGGTTTCAGAATATAAGAACAGCAGCTAGCTACCTGAGGGCCTGAGCCAGGGAGGAAATGTTCCAAGAGGGGGAACTGGCAGGTGCAGAGGCCTTGACAGCTTAGTTTCTAGGGACTGCACCAATAGACTAAAGGAGAGCCATGGAGATGAAACAGAAAAACAGAAGGAGCAGCCAGAGGAGTTTCAAGACAAGCTGTTGAGCTGGTTCCGACTCAGTGAGTGGCCTTCGTTTTCCGAGGCTGTCAATCACAATGGGAGGAGACTGCCCAGTTTGTGCCTGGGGTATCAAATCGCCACCAAGCACAGCATTTGGTTCAGCAGTGCGGTCTGCCGTAGGCTGTGCCTCCAGAGCTCTCCATGGGTTTAGAGTTTTTCAGTTGTGAGGCTAGAGAAGGTGGAATATCGGACTTGTTTTGTAAGGATGCCATGATAGTGTAGGGGTTAAGCATTCAGCTGTTAACTGAAAGGACGGTAGGTTGAACTAAACAACCTCTTCACAGAAGAACACTGTGGCAGTTATTTTTCTGATGACAGCAAGTCTGAAAAGTTAATAAATTTGGCTTTTTAAAAAACAAAACAAAACAATAGGTTGGGGTTTGGGTTTTTTTTTAATAACAATTATTTAAGGAGATGGTCGTAGTAGGTTTAGGGTATACATAGAGTCAAACCAAATCAGACTCAGCTTATGAACAGATCTGAACCCTGTCCTATCTTGTGCCATCCTCACCTCTTGACACTTGCATTTCTGACACTGCTGTAGTCATGTAATCCATCTTACTATCCACATTACTGATGAGGGCAATAAGTTAAATAATTCAGACAAGATCCCACGGTGAGTGACAGGGCTAACATTTAAATGCGAGGAGCTACCCTCACAACCCAAAAGCACATAGTTTTAATCCACCATGGGAGAAAGGCAGTTTCCTACCATGCCTCTGAAAACTTGCTGGAGGGTTAGCTAGGAGTCAGTTCTGACTCTGTCACACTAATTACAGTTTAGTTTCAGGAAGCTGGTGGAATAGTCCGTATGGAGTCAAGTTGTGCCTCTCTGCTGGTTGGAATCCACCAGTGGTTCTGTAAGTAAAAGAAAGGCACTCTCCTTTGCAATTTACAGCCTAAGAAAACAGTTCTGATGACACAATGAGAGATTAGCATCAATGTATGTGTGTTTAAATTTCTATAGCCTTTCCCCAGTACAACAATTAGCTAGACGAGCAGGGATAAAGTGAGGAAGTGGACAGAGGCTTGATATGAGATAGCAATGATTTTCTAAAGCATAGGCTTGTTTCCCCTAAACCTTTGAATTTTTAATGAAAAAAGGTGGTAACTAAATATTAAGTTAAACCTTTACGAGAGAGAACCCAATGAAATGGGAGGGCAGAGCAATAAGCTTTACATTTGGATACTTTCAACATATCACAATTTTATTATAACTGCCTGTCTGAAATAATGATGGTGGCACAGGGTAGAACGGGGTTTAGATCTGTTGTTCATAAAGTGCCTAAGAGTCGCCCTCAACTCGATGGGACCTAACAACAGCATTTGGAAATTTTTACGTCAAAATTTCTAATTTGGGCCAAATGTCTACATTTTATTTTTTAGGAAAAGCTAATGCTTTCTAATCACTCTGAAAAATAAGACCTTAAATCAATTTGTTTTTCCCTGGTGCTTAATGCACAAAACTGCAGGTGGTTTGGTTCCATGGAGACCAAAAACAACAGGCTCTTATTCTTTGACCCTTCTATCAGGAAAATTATCCCAATGGAGAATTCTCACAAAAGCCTATTTATCAACCCACTATGAAAGAGAACATTTTCTCCACAATATGAATTCCCACAAGAAAAGCTCTGCCTCAAATGTGAATAATTGGTCCTAAGAGCCAATTGCTCTGAAAACAGTAGTTTTCAATTAATATGTTTTAAATAGGCAGAAAGAAACAAAAGTTGACTCTCATAGGGACCCCATGCACAATAGCTCTGAACTCTGCTCTACCCTGAGCCAACATTACTTCCTCACTTCCTCAGACACACCTACCCCCATTACCCTTGTTACTGTGTCGGTCCATCTATGTAAGTATGTCTACATATGGTATAGTTTCTAAAGAACCATCTTCATCATCCTGCTTATACCATGTGTTCTTAGCCTTTGCTATTATTTACAAGATGAAGAATGCCTTCTTAATTTTACTTTGGAACTTTAGCAAATCATGAGGTGGTCTTTATAAAAATATCGACTGTGATCCAAATTTTAAATTTATCCCTTATAAGTCACAAGCCTATGGTTTGTATATGATATATATTTAATATATATTAAAATATATAAACTTTTACATTTCCAAATAAAGGTAGAAATACTGTACAGATAGACACACATCCCTTTAAAAATTAATTATATATTTAAGCAAAAAACAATCTTAAAATTTTAAAGAATATATTGATGCTAGTTATTAAGTAGTCATTAAGATGTCAAAAACTTAAAAGTTTGAGATTCTAATTTAAGATTTAATCTAGGGGTAGAAAGTATGAGCCCCTTTGGACTGCATATTAAGCATCAACAAAAGCACACTGTGCTAACAAGAGGAGATATATGTAAAATTTTCTATTTAACAATAGCATCATTACAGTACCTTAAAATTACACCTTGAACATAAACACTGATTTGTTTGACCAAGGGCTTTCTTGGCACCTTCTCCTTCCCTCTTCCTTTCTGCCATCGTAACACAATATGGAAAATGGAAAGAAAGATCTGAAGAGTCTCCTCATTATCTCACCTTTGATTTCCTACTTTCAAATGATTGACCTTATAAGGTTCCATTTTATGCAAAGAAACTTCTAATGGTTGGATGAGTTTTAAAAAGGCTTATTTTTATGAGTGGGCATGAGAGTGGAGGAGAAAATGTTTTGTTATTTTCAAATCTGATATTAACTATAATCACAGCATGGCCACCATTATAAAAAAATGCAACCCTGTAATGTCTCCTTGGGCTATGTGTGTTTGTGGGTGTGTATTTATGTGTATGTGCAGTGGGTTATAGTAAGTATGCATGTTTGTTTTATTGTGTGTCACATACACACACACAGTGAAGATATGAAAGTCTGACAGAAAATACTAAAACTGCAAATAAGAATTAAGTGTGATCTCTTTTAAAATATACTTACTTTAAGAAACCAAAACCCAACCCCACTGCAGTGGCGTCAGGCCCAACTCACAGACTCTACAAGACAGAGCAGAACTGTCTATGTTTCTGAGGCTGTAAATCTCAGAATCTTACAGACACAGACTGCTGAATCATTCTGGATAGCAGCTGGCCTTGAAGTCAGCCCAATTCTTAATCCATTATACCATCTGGGTGCCTGGTTTTATGAAAGGATGCTATCAAATGTATATTGCTAATGAGACAAGTCTCCAAAGTCATGGCCATTTTCATTATCAGATGGGTTAACACGTGGCTGCAACAATAGACTGAAGACTGGAGGTATGATACCACAGGACTGGGCAGAGTTGTGTTCTGTTGTAAAAAAGGGACTTAAAAGTTGGAGCTGTACCCATAGCACCTAACAATAATTAAAGATAATTAAAGTCTAGTAGCTTAGTGATCAGTAGTTGTGCTGCCAACCCAAAGCTAAGTGGTTCAAATCCACCAGCTGCTCTGCAGGACAAAGATGGGAAATCTCCTTCGGTGCTATTTATAGCCTCTAAAAACTTGCTGAGAAAACAAAACAAAACAAAAATCTTGTTGAATGGACAGCTATGAGCTAGACTTGACAGCACATAGCAACAATAACACAATAACAAGAAGTTGCACTTTAGTACCACTCTGGTAAGAAGAGTACATTGACAGAGAACTGCCAATAAATTTAAACTGGATTTTTAAAAGGGCCTGATACTAGGGATATCATTGCTGGTGTTAGGTGGATATTGGCAGAAAGCAGAGACCAGAACAATGTTTTTATGTTTTACTGGCTATGCAAAGGCATTTAACTATGTCAATCACAACAAATTATGTGCTAATACTGAGAAGAATGGGAATCCCTGAACACTCAATGGTGCTTAAGTGAAACCGATACCTAAACAAAGAGGCTTCTGACTAAAGAGAGCCAGA